AAAAAAACTAAAAGCGCAGTTTTGCTACGTTTAGCCCCTAGTTTCGTAAATATGTATGCATTTTGATTGCTTTAGGGTGTTTAGGAATTGTTTGGGTTATTGTCGCATGGTGTATGTAGATACATGAATAAAAATTAAGCTGATTAACTGATTTCGCGCATAAAAAATCTGGCAACCCTAACTTTATTTGAAAAAATCGTAGAAAAGGTCTGTAGTTTTAAAAAAAAGCATTTGCTTAGTTTTTATTCATACTGGCCAATATGTGGGAAAACTTACAAATACAAAAATACAAAAATACAAAATTTGTCTTATTCACAAAAGCACAATAAACAGCTCTAGCTATATTTTTGAAAATGAAAACGATTTTTGAAGCAAGAATTTAAGGCTGGAATACATATAAGCCAGCAAGCAATTACCGTTCGTACATTTACTGATGTCGTCCTGCATTGCAAGCAATTAAAAGTAATTAAATATGTTGCATTAAACATCAAATCAATTTAGGTTATCAATTAGCTTGACATATCCCTTTACCTATCCTAAGTTCGTACAAGTATGCCTTACTTGTTGGTATTTCCGTCAACAAACACGAACATTTCGATTCAATAGATTTTAGACGCAATTCCTAAATGGCTGTCAATCCATCAAGACTTAATGCTCACGTAGCCGTCGTGGTCTTCGCCAATGCCGTTAATCTCTCCCCTGCCAGATGCTGCCTTAATTAAAGATATACATATATGTACATATGTATGTGCATATCTACAAAAAAATCCTTCATTCCCATATTATCCTACTACATCTATGCACATTCTGGCGCTCGCACTACTATCCTAGCAAAATTTTCGTCATTTTATGTCTGCATCAACAAGGCAATCTTAGTTTGATGCCTGAAAATTCTCGTTAATTCTATGTATTATCCTTCGCACACAGCCACATAAATATGTTGTGTGTTTACATGAGGCCGTACCACCTTACAAGCAAACCAAAACAAAAAAATCGCCGTACTCCCCTCAGTCTAAAGTATTTTCGCTAGGTCAAATACCTTCCTCGCAAAACTTTAATCATTTTTGGTGAGCTTTAATTTACTGAAGGTTGGGTGGTACGTTAGAGTGATAAGAACTGTGATCTTATGGGTAAATACTGGAACGGGATACTTAAGGTAAATGAAATTTGCAACAAGAAGAAGTGTATCCTCAAGACAAGAATTATTTAGGATCCGAAAGTAAATGCGACCCCGCCGTTCGGGCAAAAAAATAAATAATTTTTTCCCCCGAAATTGCCCTGCAAAAATACATACTTTCGATTCGAGGGTGTACCGCGAACTTTTTTTTCTGGTACAGGCTAATGTACATACTTACGAATATTAACTGGCCAATAGCCTGTTGGCTCTTTACAGCTTGTTGAATTTTTCAATATTTACTCACATTGTTTGTATCAGCAAGACTTAAAACAATAAACAGCATTCGCTTAAAATATTTGCTGCATACGCATATTTCATAAATACATACATACATCTGTAAATACACTGCCGACCAAAAGTATTTTCATAACTGATGCAAAAATTTGTATTGTAATTTTATCCGCTAATTTTTTATTAAAAATATGGTTATTACTACAACGAAAAATAAGTAAAAATACAATTCCTAACCTTTATGCAAAACTCAGGAAAATTCAATAAATTTTCATGCTAAATTTTCAGATTTTTTAGAATCATTTTGAGTTTGCAGTCCAACAAATTTTAATGGAATAAAATGCAAGTTTGAAGTAGCTAGTATTCGCCATTGATTTTTGGCAAATTTTTCACGCATCTTCTTCCTCAGACAAATTTTTTTCGAAAATACTTTGTATGGAAAAAATTTGAAACACCTTCAATCTCAAAAATCAACGCGAATTTTTGGAAACGTTGAACTTGAATTTTTAAAATATCTACCACAATTTAATGGGCTACTAAACTTAATTCTCAAACCAATTCAAAAAAGTCTGATTAGAAAGTTGAAAATTTGCAGGGAATTTTATGGAATTTTTCTGAATTTTACACAAAGTTTTGAAATTGAATTTTTATGTTTTTTGTTGTAGTATCAACCATATTTTTATAAAAAACTAGCGCAAAAAAAAATAAAATAAAAATTGTTGCACATGTGAAAAATTCAATGGGCAAAGACTTTTGGCCGGTAGTGTATGTATATACCTCTGTACGTAAAAACAAAACAATCCCATTTAACATATAAGAAATTTGTCACATTAGAAAATGCAGTGGGTGGGATGCACTAGTTAGGATGGTGAGCAGGTTGATGTTATTTCACTTTATTACTCCGTTGGCCTTTGAACTATCCTTTACAGCAAGGACAGTCAATATCTATTGTGTGGAAGGATATTATCCATATTCTTGTGATTAAAAAAACTGAATAGTCAACACTTGTACAATTTGTCAGGTATGCCGGCATTTGACTGCTTCGCATTCGCAGATACAATTCTCTCGAAGCGGCTGTTGCTAGAAGGAAACTGTATAGAGCATCATCGCCCATACATATGCCATGTTGAAGCCATGAAGACGATGTCCATGTCGTTAAAAATCTCGCTACAGCTAATCATATTACCTTCTTCGGTACCCGCTCATTATGATTACCACAGAAGAATTTAATTTTCAATAAAGTTGCTCATACGCCATAGCACACGAACCTTTTACGACACAAGCATTAATTCATTTAAATATCTATTTCTTTACGACTTATCTTCCGAGAATTTACATGCATCCATAAAAATGTTAAGCTATTTCACTGCATGTGCAGCGAGAATTGTCATAATCTGCTTATTTTGCGAAATCCACTGAACACACTCACTCACTCATCCGTCTCCTACGTTGCTCATACGCCATGTGACCTCAATTTACTTAATCTTATGCTAGGTCAACCTGAAAGTTATTTCTGGCATACCAAGAAAGATATGTAGATGCATATGATTATCCACCAGGTTTCAACAAACATTTATGTTCATGAATACATAAAATTTTTAAATTAAAACTTGAGCCATAGAGCCGCAACTTAACTCTAAAATAAAAAAAAGAATACCCAAAGCTGTTAATTAATGTCAAGACAATGCGCATGGACGTGCAAACAATAAACAAAAAATATAAACTTGCACAAATTCACACGAGCATGTCATAGATATGTACATATGTATGTATGTATGTATATACTTTAAAGCAAGTGTTCGAATGGCAACCTCATCGTGATGACGTCATTAGCGCATGCGACGCAATTATTGTCCTTTCGACGACCGCCCACCCACCCCATGCACCTACCGGCCTATATGATTTTTTTTAACAAAATTAAATAAAAAAAGATTATGCGCGCACATCGTTTAAGCTTTTTTGCCGTGCGTTCTCTACGCTTCCGCTGTTGCAGTGTTATATATTTTTTTCTCCTTTTTGTTTAGTCGGCTGCGTTGTGTTAGTATTACTGTGGTTGTTATTAACATCATTGTTGTTGTTGTTGCTTTTTGGCACACTTTTTAATGCTTTTAATGTCTGTCAAGAGCCGAGCGCGCCAATGAGCAATCGTAGCAACAATGATGAATTTGCTCGGCTGTGCGGCAGCTCGGCAAAGTTGTAGAAGCACTCGGCTGGGTGCTCAACCTCGCTCTATTCGGAATTGTTTACATTCACGCTAGCTGTTACACAGACAAGATAAACCGTTAGGCAGGTAGTCTCTGCGCCACCCAGCTGGTTGCGATGATACATGGCGCGAAAATTTTGTGCCCGCTCGTGCTAGCCAACAGCACCAACAGATAGAACACTGACACCAAGCACACACCCTGCCAGCCAGCCAGCCAGCCAGCCAGACATACAGTCTGACAGCTCGTTAGTCATATGGTTAACTAACCGAATGCGAATGCGAATCCGAATAACGATTTCAAAGCCAAAGCGCCGCCGCACCAGCCCCCAAATTGACTATGACTATTAGCATGATGCTGATGCTACCACCTGGCGCCTCCAACCCCTCGGCACATACAGACTGCGCCTGCCACCTCCTTTTTGTTTGGTGATGTTAGTGGCATGTCAGCGCGCGCTGTTGCGCCACATTCGTACGCCATTTCACTAAATACCTCGCATGTTCATTAGTGCTATTACAGGCTCCGTTGATTATAGACGCGTCAAAGCGGCGGTGGTAAATAATATTCAGCAGTGTAGTAGCGGTAAATAATTGAAAGCAGTCAAATTTGAACGCGAATTTCTAGGCGCTAATATGCAAAGCGACTTGCTAAGCAGCGTGGCAGTAAACAGTAAAAGTTTGGATGAAAAGATTCCCTTAAAATTTAAAAAATCGTAGACATATTTATTTTGTTTGGTTTGGTTTGCCGCTTAGCTGGCCAAGTGGAAATTGCACCTGAGTTTCG